TCAATGCAATGGGTCCATTTAATCCAATCAATCCAACTCAAGAGAGGAACAAAAAAGTGTTATACTAAAAGTAAGACAGATAAATAAATAAGATGAGGAAAGCAAATTCAAAATAATAAGAGCAATCAATATATATGAACCAACAAGTCAAATTAAAAGACAAAGCTTTTCATATTGGATGAAGAAAGTAATTCTACACATGTGATTTTTACAAGACACACGCCAAAATGATCAAGACTCAGAAAGACTGAAATTAAAATTTTAGAAAATATAAATAATTAAGTACTAATCCTAAGAAAGATTATATAATTATTTTTGCATTAGACAAAGTATATTTTAAGGCAAATAGCGTTAACCAATGAAAGTAAGTTTTTATATTCACTATCTCTAGGACACATTACAGCATGCCTATTATGGTAAATTGACTGAAATAATGAGAATAAAATAATTAGATAGTGCAAACTATTTTTAAAGTGAAATGTGTAGAACATTGCAACAAATAACATATGAATGAACACACATTCTTTCAGAGATATATGGAACATTTTCAAATGTAGAGCTTTTACTCAGCAAAAAAAATATGAAATCCAATTTCAATATTATAGACCCCACATTCTCTGAACATGACACAATTAAGTTAGAAATATGCACTTTAAAAATTCAAAAATCTGTATTTAAATATCTCATGAGACAAAAAGAACAATGGAAGTGAAAAATGCTTAGATATGATTAAAATTGTAAACTATCTAAAAATGTAAGTATAGGTGAATATAAGGAGTATTTAGAGGAAAATATATATCCTTAAAGTATTGTCTTTTTAAAAAATGTCTAAGACCCAAACATTCAACTTAAAAATCAGATAAATAAATTAATAAGTAAACACACTGAAAAAGTAAAGAAACAGTAAAGAAGAGAGTAGCAATTAATAAAATTGCAAACAAAATGATAATGAAGTTTAGCAAAGACAAAAATTGATTGCTGGAACAGAGAAAAATAGCAAATTCTGACAAGATGAGTCAAGAAAGTAAAATAAAGTAAAAAAAATGAATATTAAGGATTTAAAAATAGAACATAATTCAACAGAAATTAAAATAATGTGATATTATTTTTTAGTAAAAAGGACAACTTTGTAGTCGAACCATTTGAAAACCTCGCTGAACTCTATGTATTAACAATAACTATAAAAATCCCCCAAAGAACCAAACAATAAACTCACCAAAATTAAATCAAGAGAAAATAATAAACCTGCTGTATTATCTGTAAAGTATATAAAATTGAATACATATTTAAAATATTCACCCAAAATAAACTGTAAGTCAAAATGATTTAACAGGCTTGTTCTAAAACTTATTGAAGAACTGGCTATCCACAATCTTACACAAATCCTTTTTTGAGAAAAAAAAGAAAAAGAAGATAGAATGTTCTCCAGGTTATTTATAAGGGTTTAACTTGACAATAAAATGACAAAAGCAAACCACATAAGGTAATTTATATATATACATATCTGTTTCCAGTAAAATGTTAAATAAAAATAGTTGTAATGAGAAACAAACTCCAGCATTCTGTAAGCAAAATAAAATATCACAACCAAGATGGGTTTATTCTAACAATGTAAAGTTATTTCACCAATAGAATAATGGATTAAAGAACTGCATTCCTTAAGCAGAATAAAGAAGAAAAATAGGAATGTGAAAACATTCAGAATAAAACATTCAGCACAAATTTTAAGAATTATGTACGATAAAATCTGATAGTATAATGAGAGTAGAAGAGAATTTTCCTAAATTGGGAAAAACCCTGCAGAAAACATCATGGTCAACATTGAAATCTTATGACTACTTTTAAATTTACATGTATATGTGTGATAAACATCAAACAATAATCAAGACACTTATGAATAAATATAATCAGGTAAACAAATGTGCCATTATACATCCTGAATTCTCCTATGGATCTGGAGTGTTTCTCAAGTAGCAATTTTATTAATTACTACTCTCTTCTTGGTTGGATCACAATATTATAGCAGAATAATCGTTATGTCATTGGCAATGAATTTCAGCAGTGTTAAGAAAAAAATGGCAATTTTGAAAGAAGAAAAGTTTGTGGTTGCAATATTAAAGCAACTGATATTCTGATTTTCAAAAACTGATATGTTTATAAACTTTGTCTACAAAAGTCATATTGCAATACCTTCTTAGCCTATCAGGATCCCATTTGAGGTATGGATGTCTGTGACATACACAGAATTCAGTCCAGCTGATTTGTACCCATCTCTGATCCCTATAGTCATTCTAGAGCTCAGAGAACGGGAGAAGTGACTCTTGAATACTTAACTGATCCTTGAAGTTTTCTTCAGTCTCCTTTCCCCATTCAATTCTTGGGGAAATAGAATAAATTTAAGATATAGTCACCTATGTCAGATTATTACAGATAAATGTTACCTATTAACTTCTATAATTAGACGGTCTGCACCATGAACATCTAATGATATCTAGCCAAAGTGGATACAAATCATACGACAGACCTTACTCCCCATTAAATAATATTGAAAAAGTAACTAAACAGAAAATTACATCATTAGAAGTAATTTATTTTAGATTTATGGTGAGTTTGACAGAAGGGATGAATAGGAAAGTTTGTACTCAAATATTATGCCTTACTGAGATCTTCCTCATTTTAAATTGTTATTAACTTATGGTCCAAATAAAGAGAATGGAGCCAAGTGCAGTAGCTCATGCCCGTAATTCCAGTACTTTGAGGGGACAAGGTAGGAGGATTCCTTGAGCCCAGGAGTTTGAGCAACATAGAGAGACCCTGTCTCTATGGGAAAAAAAATTATCTGGTCATGGTGGCATGCACTTGTGGTCCTAGCTACTTGGGAGAGTGAGGCATGAGAATGTCTTGAGCCCCAGAGGTTAAGGTTTCAGTGAGCTGTGGTCACACCAATGCACTCCAGCCTGGGTAACCGAATGAAGCCTGTCTGGAAAAAAAAAAATATGTGTATATATATATGTATATACATACACATATAAAATATATTTATATATATTTCTCTCTCTCTGAATTAACACTTCAGCTAATTGACCCCTAAAAAGTAGTCACTTGTGTGTTTAGTAAAAAACAACATGGTTTTTAAAAATCTAGATAAGAGACGTAGCTGGAAAGAAATAATGACAACTTCTCAATCTTTTCTTCCAAATCAATAATGGGAGATTTCTAGTTGGGGTGAGATGTTTGAAGGAGTGGGAGGAAATTTTCTTTTCCAATAGCCACAAAATTCTGCTATTGTAAATGTCAGAGAAATATAAAAAAGGACTAATACTGTTTGCTAGCAGAAAATTATATATTTTTACATATAATTTTTTACTGGTTTCTGGATGTTGCCAAAAAAAAAAAGATTTTTGAAAAGTAAACACAGGGGAACCCTTTCTTTGCCCTAGTAACACACAAAAAAAATTGGTAGCAATCTTATTGGGTATGATGGGTGCTAACTCATCCTAAAAACTGTCTTGTTGCATAAATCTAAGAACCATGAAGGCAAAATGGTGGTTGTCCATTTATAAAACTTCCTCTGGAGGATGCAGACATGTCTCTATGATAACGGTGTTTCTCACAAGTGATTAATGCTACAAAAGATTTTTTATTGGCATACATCCTAAGAAGTATGGCTGATAAACTGGCAAGATCAGCAGATTGCAGTCCAAAATCTCCCTTTACTTTTTTGAAAGGTCTCTTTGCTCTTTTGAAATTCCCATCACTTTTGTTGTATGTAGACCAAAGTTTATGTTTCTCAACTAACTTCTGAAATCTTCATTCACTTCGTTGCATTGTGTTATAGACCACTTAGATGTACTTTTATTTTTTGACCTTAGGGAGATTATATTTTCTAATTCCTTCTTTCAAAGATTGTTAAAGTTAGAAGGACCAACCCTCCAGATCAACTTACTGATCCAAAACCAGAGTGTTTATAAATAAGTGCTTTGCCTAGGACCAAATTGCCAAATCTGAGCCCTAAACTGGAATTTCATAACATTGTATGGCCTTGCCCTTTTTATTTCACATTTTGACACATTTTTTTTGCCCAGTTAGCTTGTAAACCTGTAATGGAAACAGCTAAAATAATGAGCTCCTCAATTCTTCCTTATATCCAATGCTGGTCTAGTTCCTGACACATAATGGGATTCTATGTATCTATCTATTTATTCAGCAGATATTTGTGAAACGCTTACTATGATTTGGTCACTGAATAAATGCTAACGGTGCAAAAAGTTATTTCCCATCCATGCTGGCTTTAAAAGTTCTCATCTAGCTCCACAGTTTTAAGTACTGTTGATATGTCAATTGTTCCCAAATGCCTACCTCCAGCCCTGACTTCCTCGCTGACTTCAGATTCATAAATCTGTCTATTTAGCATATCCATATGGTTATCTAATAAAGATGTCAAATTTTACATTTGATTTCATTGGCTCCAAAACTTACTCTCTCAGGTGTCCTCATCTTAGTAAGTCTATCCAGTTACTGAAGCTAAAACTGTCAGGGTACTTTTGAGTCTTGTGTGACCTACAGCTTCTACTAATAATCCATCACCAAGTCTTGAAAGCTTTATATTTAGAGAGAAAGTACATGTCATCTGGAGTCAGGATGACTCACTTGAAGTCTTGGCTCCACCACTTGTTAGCTGTATGATATTTTTCAGGTAATTAACTTCTCTGCAATTCATATTTTTCTACCTAAAATAGAATGGATGATAAGAATTTTTTTTTTTTTTTTGAGACGGAGTCTTGCTCTGTCGCCCAGGCTGTAGTGCAGTGGCCGGATCTCAGCTCACTGCAAGCTCCGCCTCCCGGGTTTACGCCATTCTCCTGCCTCAACCTCCCGAGTAGCTGGGACTACAGGCGCCCGCCACCTCGCCCGGCTAGTTTTTTGTATTTTTTAGTAGAGACGGGGTTTCACCGTGTTCGCCAGGATGGTCTCGATCTCCTGACCTCGTGATCCGCCCGTCTCGGCCTCCCAAAATGCTGGGATTACAGGCTTGAGCCACCGCGCCCAGCCAGATGATAATAATATTGATGTCATATGCTTGTTACAAGATTTAGAGTAATACATGCAAAATATTTTGTATAGCTTTTGAATTATTTTCAGGAGGCAGTGATTTCTTTTTCTAAAGGACAATGTCAAAAAGAGTTGATTAGATATGAAGATAAGTGTAAAGACCTAGCCAAGAAATACATCTGCTTTGGTCAAGTCTCTGCTTTGGATAAGTTAGAAATGGTTGGTCACCCATTTACCGAGTGAAGCATCATGAGAAGTAAGATATATCTGAGGATAATTATGTTGAGCTTAATATGGTACATGCTGAGTTGCTTGTGGTATATTTAGGTGGAGAAGTTCAATAATCAGTGGTGAATATTTGGGGCTACCATATTGCACAACCTCAGGAAGAACCGCTTGCGGTGCAATCTATGTTAGTGGTGCTTCTATGCTCAGTTCCACAGTTTTAAGTACTGTTGATAGGTCAATGGTTCCCAAATGCCTACCTCCAGCCCTGACTTCCTCGCTGACTTCAGATCCATAAATCTGTCTATGTAGCATATCCATATGGTTATCTAATAAATATGTCAAATTTTACATTTTAAAATTGTAAATATAATACTGTCTGGTAACAGAACTTTCATTTTTCACTTTTTAATATTTTTCTGCTAATTGAAGCATTGACAATACATTTGGTCACCTAGGGAACATGTATACTATAAGGTGATAGAGAGTTATAAATAAAATTCGAGGAGTTTCTCTATGGAAAAGACAAACTGAACCATTAAGCCATGAGAGAGATGAAGCAGCAGTTAAAGTGATAATATCACATGTGCTAACCAAACCAATAGGAGGTCTGACTATATCAATACTACATGTCAGTCTTAGAAAAATGGGAACCTATATTTCAGTAGTCTAATAGGTAGTTACAATTTAGGGTTTATAGATGAAATAGTATGCTTTCGAGGATCAAGTTACTTTGTGTTCAAATCTCAGATTATTGCATGTCCTTTAACCGAGGGAGACAGGGATGACCATGATGATAAGAATGATGATCATAGTGAGTATGTAAACAGGCAGGCGTGAAAATACTTATCCTAAGTATGTCATGTGCATGTGCAAGTGTGATTTCTAGTTCCTAAGTTGAGAAATTGTGCTTAGAAAATTAAATGAGTTTGTTAAGTACATACACCTACAAAGGAGGAAAAACCGAGATTTGACCCTGGCAAGTTGAATCTGGAGCCTGTTCTTTTTACCAGTGTTATTACTGGTTACAACTTAACCACCAGGCTTCCCTGTGTTCCCAGCTGAGAAACGGGATTACAAATACCTACTTCAAGTCATTGCTGTGATCATTAAATTTAATTTAATGAGGTGATATATGTGAATTCCTACCAAAATAGTTACAACTTAGATGACACCCAACAGATACTAATTTGCTTTCTTCTGTTTCCAAATCTAGTTACACGGGATAGGATAAATTAATGACTTTTAAAATAGACTTTCAATTTTTTTCTGTATTTGGAATTGTGAAAAGACATTTTAAGATACATATAAAAGTTTATGTCATATATTAAAAGATTAACTGCTTTATACATAATGCCATCCATAAAGATATCGACAAAAAGAAAAGCTTAAACTTCATCTTTAATCCATTTGGTAACACTTACTGTGAGTTTATTGTCACTAGACATCTGAGTTTTGCTGCGGAAGAGTTTTGTATATTCCCTTTGATTCAGCAGCCAGGCATTCTAAGGACCATATCGACTTGTTTACTTTCAGAATTATGACTATGTACAGAGTTAAAAAGGCAACAACAAGTGGTCAGTTTAACAAATGCCGAACTAGAGGTAACTAGAATATCACTAGTAGCAGATTATGAGATTGAGCATACAGCAAAGTCTAATAAATTTAAAATGTATCTTCCTTATTAAAATGTAAATTTGGCAATATAATTTTTTTGAGTTTCATGGAGGAAATGAATCTGTTGATTCATTCCTTGAGATAGAACCTCCATCATTAAGCTCATGGTGGCATGTAAAGTTTAGCATTGCCACTGCTTCTTGAGTCTTCTCCTTTTCATAATGTACGCTAAACACGCTTCAGATGATATGTTCATGAAGATCTCTTTGCCATTCTTGTCTCATTTGTAGTATGGAGAAGATGCTGTAGATGAATTAGAAGACTACATCAGAAATCTCATCATGGAGAACTCCTAGAACAAAGCCTGGACTACTGTAAATGCTTCATGATTATAGTCAGTTTAATTTCACTTAAATCCTACTTAAAGCATTATTTCTATTATTCTATCCAGAAGCATCTACATTTTTAAGATACATTAGAAGTGAAAAATGTATTATTTACATCAATAGATAATTCTATATTTGCAACTGATTTTCAAGCTAATAGTGAGAGCCTAACATGTCTTGAAAATGACTCTTCACTATTAAACTCTGGGCACAAAAGGTACTGGATAATATTTAATGCCAATGATCACATATGCATTCACTTATGTGAATTCATAGCCCTTACACTGTCCTCTTTTCACTCTACAACAACCTTTGAACTTCTGAGATGTGTAGTATAGTTCTTGCAATTGGAAATAATTGGAATGTGGGGTAGATAACTGCACATGTATCCGGAGAGTGAGAAATGGTCATGAGCAGTATAAAAATAGCACTTATCACTAATGGAACATAAAATTATCATTCCCTGGGTAGTAACTTTGCTGCTAAAATTGCTCTGGGGAGGTAGAAGCAATTGCAATTTCCTCTGACCTCCAGGGTGGTCCACATTTCTCTGTTTGAAATAATCCATTGCAAATGACTGATCATGAAATCTGAAAAAAATAACTTGTGTAGCAGTTAATATTCCTCCTCAATAGGATAAATTCATCAATGATAAATGTACATGTATTTCAGGAACTTACATGACAATGGCTCATGGGTTTTGATGTTAATTTTTTTTATCCCCTCTGCAGTCAGGTGAAAGCCAGCTCACATCCTTGAAAAAAATATTTACATGATTTCTTTAGACTTTATTATACTGCATTTAATTTAACATCATCTGAATTCCACTGATCGCTAGGTAATCTCTGGTTTGGATATTTTCTAAATTTTGTTTTTTTTCTTGCTAAGCAGTGAAGCAGTTTACACTGGCTTTGAATTCTCACATGGATCCATTTCCAGAAAGATGAATGAGAGTTAACAACAAGGAAACCTGCTTATTCAGAAAAAATGTACTCCATTCGTATTCATTGAATTTTACTTTGTAAGAGACAGGATTGGACCAGTAATCAAACATAATCATGATTCTAACTTTTTTTTTCTTATGGGAGTTGAAGATTCAAGTACCAAAAGTCCCTATCACATGAAACTGGGGGGACTCAGGCTACTGTGGCGGGTGTTCTTTCTTTTCCATTATTCTCTATGAGCCATATTGTTTCAGCAGATCACTGATGGCCTCAGATATATTTATTATTCTAATAAAATAGTTGAAGTTTTCTATAGCGTTATGTCAAATACTCCTTTTCAAACAGATTGGGGAAGACAGAAACTATTATTTTTGATCGAGATTACAAAAGCAAATTTTGGCTTTTGTTGAAAGTAGAAAATAGTAATTTTTTTTTTGGGAAAAAAAAAAACCAACTTCACTTTTATTGGCTCTGTCTAGCCTATCCTTGCTCAGCTCATCTTTTAATGCAATTTAAAATAATGAGAGTTTATTTATGAGTAAAGTAAATCTGACATGACAAACTCTACCTAACTGCAAATAAATTAAATCGACACTTACTCTTATCAAAGTTATCAGATTCTCAACTCCCATAGATTTGTTTTAATATGTACTAGTTTTAGAGCAGTTTAGACTGAGGTACAGTAATGATGCCTGCATTACAGTCAACCTTTTTACAAAGAGATTTACCAGTCAGGTTGGTTTTAAATGACCTTACTAGCTAATAGACACATTTATTCTTATCAACTGTCCAATACAGAAAAAATAATTCACTTTTGACCTTCTATTTAGAAAAAATATATATTATTTTAAAGAGGATTTGAACAAAATAAATATATAGTCCACATTTACAACAAAAGCGAATGGGGATGTGAAACTGTCAAGAAAATAGTCTTTTATCATCCTCTATTTTCTTGTTTTGTTTTTACTAGCAACATATCTCAATTTTTTAAATTTATTCTCCACGAGATAATCCAAAATCCTATGCACAAAATGAATTAGAAGTGCACAAAAGCAAGCGACCTATTTTTCTACTCAGCTCAACTGAGCAAGATACTGCTTGATAGGACGTCAAGATATAACAGGGTTTCATGTACTGCCCAGAGTCAGACCACGAGATTCTATGATGTACTCTAAGATTTAGCTATGACACAAACTTCCTATCAGGTGGATAGTGTGAGCAGGGGTTTTAGTTTGAACCATCTTGAATATTTGTCACTAGCTAGAGTATTTAAGGGAAAGAGATCTTATGCTTTCCTGCAATTGGCCTTTTATAATGCCAGCAAAGAATGTGAATGTTGAGTCTATGATTACTTCTCAGTATGCCATCTGTTTTAAAAATAACCTGAATATTGCTGCCATGTTTCCAAAGTCTGTTATAGATCATTCACTGAAATGGTGGCAAGCGGAGAGGTACCTCTTGCTTTTTTCTAGATGCAGCTGGGTTTTCCAAAAGGATCACTCATATTATCCAGGAGTTCGCTAATTGCACCTGTCAGTTTCCCTTGCATTAACATCATTTAAAATTATTTAGCCTTGAATAATTACATTAAATATATATGTTGCACTATTTCCTAGTAAACAAACAAATTGGAGAGGTGGATACTCTTACTTGGATGTGTTTATCCTTTTAAGACCTGGTCTTTGCCACATCTTCGACAATGATTCAGAAAGAGAGTTGTCCACTTATTTTTTTCCTGAAATAAACAATTGAGGAACTCAAAATTCTGTTCTCTTCCTCAATCAGATAAGGGAAACCTATCATCCCTGTTATTTATTTGTCAGAAATCTAAATGCTTCTTAGACAAGCACACAAACACCTACATACACAAACAAAACACTTACTTGCTGTTGAATTTGAATTGTATCACATGGTTGTGGAGTTAAGGCAAAAGGCAAGGGAAATTATAATGTACTTTCTGCTCTATTTATCCAGTTTTTCAAAATAATGAAGTTTTCATCTGTATCTAGGAGAGAGCTTGTTTTAAAAATTGCATAATGTACAATGATTATTTCTTAGGGGAATTGGAGACAAATTAAAGGTAAGACAATACTATTGAACTGGCTTTTCCTCAAGGAGTACTCTATAGAACTGGGTAATAATGTTGCACAAACTATGGATCTGAAACACATATGCTTTCATCATCACCATCTGTACTGAATTTATAAATGAGAGAAGAGAGTGTGCTAGAAAATTTAGATTAACAATATATTTGCCCTTTTATATACTAGCACTTTAAGTACAATTGTTTAAAAAGCTACTTTCTCACTAAAATGTATCAAGTCAATAGTAGCTTTTTATTCTATCCCGATAGAAAAGCTAAAACTCAGTGTAAGAGCAGTGAGGCTTAGTGAGGCTATCAGAAACAGGATGGTTCAATTTTGTCGTCAGAGGACATGAGACAACACTGTGTCATAGGTTTAATAGATCACAAAAATTATATACTATTTAATAAAAAATCCCAGAACACCTGTCAAGGTAAATTGTTGTGAAACAAATGATGGGAACAATATGACATTACTATTATTATTATTTTTTTTTTTTTTGAGACAGAGTCTCGCTCTGTCACCCAGGCTGGAGTGCAGTGGCGCGATCTCGGCTCACTGCAAGCTCCGCCTCCCGGGTTCACGCCATTCTCCTGCCTCAGCCTCCAGAGTAGCTGGGACTACAGGCGCCGCCACCACTGCCGGCTAATTTCTTTTTGTATTTTTAGTAGAGACGGGGTTTCACCGTGTTAGCCAGGATGGTCTTGATCTCCTGACCTCGTGATCCGCCCGCCTCGGCCTCCCAAAGTGCTGGGATTACAGGCTTGAGCCACCGCGCCCGGCCGACATTATTCTTTAGTGTGCATGCACTTGTTAACAACACACAGAAGGGATTGTTAATGTGTTAATGTTGTTAATGTGTTAATGTGGTTAATGTGTTAACAACACACATTCAGGGATAATCTTGAAACTTTGGCCGCTTCCTGCTGGGATGAGAGAGGCAGATTTCATGGAAGCCCTCAGAAATGCCAATGTGAGTGTTCATTTTATGTTTCAATTTGACTGGGCCATCAGGTGCCAAAACTTGGTCAAATATCATTCTGGATGTTTCTGTGAGAGTGTTTCTAAATGAGATTATATTATTTAAATTGGTAGACTGGGTGAAGCACGTTGCCCTCTCTAATGTGGGCGTCCCCTAATCAGTTGAAGGCCTGAATGGAATGAAAAGGCTTTCCCTCCTCAATTAAAAAATACTCCCCGTGAGTGACTGACTTTCTAGGGGGACATTGGCTTTTTCCTGCCTTCTAACTCAAATGGAATCATTGGCTCTTCCTGGGCCTTGAACATGCTGGCCTTCAGACTGAAACCATACCATTGGCTCTCCTTGGTCTCCAGCTCCTAACTCACCCATTGGAAACCTGTCAATCTCCATAATCACATGAACCAAATTCTTATTTTTAGTTTTCATATTTAAAACATTTTTTGAGACAGGGTTTCACTTTGTCATCCAGGCTGGAATGCAGTGGTGTGATCATGAATCACTGCAGCCTCAACCCAAGTGATCCTCCCACCTCAGTCCTAAAAGTAGATGGATCTACAGCCACGTACCATCACACCTGACTAATTTTTGTATTTTATTTTTGTAGAGACAGAGTTTTGCCATGTTGCCCAGGCTGGCTTCGAACTCTTGAGTTCAGGCATTACTCCTGCCTCGGCCTCCCAGTGTGTTGGGATTACAGACATGAGTCGCGCCGGGCGCGGTGGCTCAAGCCTGTAATCCCAGCACTTTGGGAGGCCGAGACGGGCGGATCACGAGGTCAGGAGATCGAGACCATCCTGGCTAACACGGTGAAACCCCGTCTCTACTAAAAATACAAAAACTTAGCCAGGCGAGGTGGCGGGCGCCTGTAGTCCCAGCTACTCGGGAGGCTGAGGCAGGAGAATGGCGTGAACCCAGGAGGCGGAGCTTGCAGTGAGCTGATATCCGGCCACTGCACTCCAGCCTGGGTGACAGAGCGAGACTCCGTCTCAAAAAAAAAAAAAAAAAGACATGAGTCGCTGCTCCCAGTTTATAAATCATCTTTCTCTCTCTCTTTCTCTCTCCTTCTCTCTCTCTTTGTACGTGTGTGTATGTGTGTGTGTGCGTATACCTTTTTGGTTTCGCTTATCTTATTCATTTATGCTTTATAAAATAAAGTATATTTCATATACTTTATATACAATTTATATAACTATATTTTATGAAAAATAAACTATATTTTATTAAGCATGACTTTGTTTATAAAATATACTTTGTTTTGTTTCTTTGGAGAATATTAATATAGCCAAAATACTGTTGTTTTAAAACCATTGTCTTCTATGAAATAAATTAAATGCCACATAGATCTTCACATTTTTTTTTGTCCTGTGACACTGTGACACTGGGATTAACTGAAAAAAAAGGGTAATGTAATAATGCAAATGCACATTTCTATGATTTATGGTATATAGGTAGTATGAGCATGTGTCTCTGGCAATCTCCCCTAATTTCCTTTCTCCTTTGTACTGATCTGTTATCAGAAATAGAAGAGCTGTGGCCTGTGATCACAGAACCTTAAAGAAATATCTTCCAAGTTTTGATTCAATATCTAATTTTCTATATAGTTAATATAAAAATGGCCCAATGGAAGATATGTCTTGGTTCACCAATATTCTCCACTACGTTACTCATTTTCCAAAGACAAATGTAACAAATATATATTGAATTTTTTAGTAAATAAACGTATGTACCCATGAATATTTGATACTTGTTATCATCAAAATACTATTTAACCTAAAGTGTTGCTTTTATTCTTCCATTTGAAAGTAAAATGTGTTTTCTGATTTGTGTGCAGTTTAACCAAAGTCTGAAATTCTTCTTTTTGTATTTGTTTCACATGGTTTTCTTTGCTTTAAATATCATGTTATTTTTATGTATAAGTCAATTCTTAGTTTTTTTAAATGTGCTTGCAAACATATATTATAATTGCATACTTAATGATATTGAAAGCATTTTAGTGGTCCTTCTAAGGAACACAGCAATGCATATAGGAAGTGGAGCTGATTTCAGCTGAACAAATACTTATATGATGCTTTCTTGGCATCTTTCACTTTGCTAGGGGTTGTAAAATCCAGGACTCCTACTTGGAGTAGGCAAGAGTGCAATGAAGGAGTCACACACAGTCTCTGAGAACTTTGCTGGAAATGCAGAGGAGAAGGATCACCTAAAACAGAGCACTGGGGAAGAAGTAGAAAAAAATGTATTCAGTCTTGAAGAAAGAACTGTGTATTAGCCAAATGAAGAATAGGAGTAGATGACTTTTGTTGGCAGGAGAAGCACCACAGATAGGGAAGATTCAAGCCATAAGAGTTAGTTACATATAAAAAGCAATTTAGTATTGGTGTACTATAAGGAGAGTTAAAGGAAGCAATAGAGTGAATATGGAATGATGAGGGTTTTCTTTTTTTTAGCTGTTCATATAATATGAACTAGCCATAATTCACAAAGAAGAAATGGAATGAAAAGAAAGGGTAATGCAGGCTGGTATTGAATAAAGACAAAGTGACCTTTAAAAAACATTTATTAAGACATTAGTGAATATCATAAATGGTACATGTTTATATTCTACTATTCGATAAGCTTTTACACATGAATCACCTGTGAAACCATCACTGCACTCAAGATAATGAGTGTATCCCTCTGCCAAAACTTTCCATGTTTCCTTACTTAATCCCTTCTACATTAATCCCTTTTCATGCTTCTGATAATGACATACCTGAGACTGGGAGACTGGGAAGAAAAAGAGGTTTAGTGGACTTATAGTTCCACATGTCAGGAGAGGCCTCACAATCATGGCAGAAGTCAAGGAGGAGCAAGTCACATCTTACATGGATGGCAGCAGGTAGAGCGAGAGCTTGTGCAGGGGAACTCCTCTATACAAAACCATCAGATCTCATGAGACTTATTCCCTATCATGAGAACAGCATGAGAAAGACCCACCCCCACCAGTATTCAGTCAAATCCCACTGAGTCCCTTTTGAAATACATGAGAATTGTGGGAGTTACAATTCCAGATGAGATTTGGGTGGGGACACAGCCAAGCCATATCACCTTCATTGCAGCCCTTCCTACAATCACTCCCTCATTCCCAGGAACCACTGATCTGCTTTCTGCCACTGCAGATTCATTGCATCTTTTTCAGTTTCAAATACATTGAATTATACAGTACATACAATTCCTGTGTAGGATTTCTTTTGTTCAGTATAATTATTACATGCTTGTACCACAATGCGTTTACCCATGTACCTTTTGATGGTTATTTCCTGTTTGAGACTATTAAAATTTAAGCTTCTATGAACATTCATGTACAAGTCTTTGTGTAGATACACACTGTCATTTTACTGGAATAATGAGATGATAAAATTTGTTTACCTATTTAAGAAATTGTCTCTTTTAAATTTTTAACTGGACACCGCTTTCCCTATTGCACACTGGTCATCACTCCCTCCCCACCACCAGCTTTGAGACTTTATACAATTGTTGAGATAAAGGACCCATAGGACCAATGAGTATGAAATACAGTTTATTACTCATATAGAAAAGGGCAAACATTTACCCCAAGGAAAATAGGGCAATATCAGCTCATAATGATGGAAGACAGGTGAATTTAAACTTTCTGCATGCTCCAAGGAAGGGAGCAAGCTGGCTTTCTTACTGGCTTCCGAAGAGGTGGAACAAAGGGGAGAGGGAAAGTGTGAGATTTGAAAGCTGTCTTTGATCAAATAAAAAATAGAGTCTTTGACTTGTATACTGCCAAACTCTTTTGCAAAGTGGTTTTACAATTTTATGTTCTAACAGTATGAATATTTCAGTTCCTCCATTTCCTTGCCAACATTTGGCATGCTCAGTCTTTGAAACTTTAGACATTTTAATAGGCCTATAGCAGTGTCTCTGTGCAGTTTTGGTAGGCATTTCTCTACCAACTAGTGATGTTGAACATATTCTCACTGCTCATTTTCCTTTCCTATATCTTACTTAGTTATCTGTCTGTTCAAATCATCTGACAATTTGTTATTGAGTTTTTTGTTGTCTTATTTTTGAATATTGGCTGGTTTATATGGATTCTGAATCACATATTCTTTATCAGATATGTGGTTTACAAATGTTTTCCCCATATGTAGATTGTCATTTCATTCCATTACCAGTGTAATTCAAAATGCGGAAATCTCTAAATTTAAGAAATTCAATTTATGTTTTTTTATACATCATACTATCATGTATAAGAACCCAAGGCCCAAAACATGTTTTTCTTCTAGAAGTTTTATAGTTATAAACTTTACATATTGATGTAATCATTTTGAGTTCATTTCAAAAAATGATGTGAGACTTGGATCAAAGTTTATATTATTTCATATCCACAACAAATTATTACACCTGTGTTGATCAATTAATCATATATGTGTAGGTCTATTTTTGAACTCTGTTCTGTTTCATTGATCTATTTGTTTAAACTGATGCCAATACCAAACCTCTTGAATACTGTAAGTTAATAAGACTTAAATTCAGAAGTGTAAGTCCATCAAAGTTGTCCTTCATTTTCAAAGTACTTTGAAATGAATTTTAGAGTCAGTTTGTCATTTTAACCGAACAAAAATATTGTGCTACAATTATAATTAAAATTCTTTTGAATCTATTGATCAATTTAAAGAGAATTTTCAAGTTAACAATATTGAGTCTTCTGGCCCATAAACACAGTACAGGTATTTCTCTTCACTTATTTATATCTTCTTAAGTTCTCTCAGCAAATTTTAAAGTTTTCAGTGTAGAGCTCTTTTTCATTCATTGTCAGATTTATGTCTTAAAATTTCATAGCACTCCCCTTGACAAGCATTGAAGAGGCCCTTGGGCCTGACAATACGCACACGGTTAAGGCATTGCCACCTACTTCGTGGCATCTAACCATCGTTTCAGGCCAGGTGTGGTGGCTCAGTCTGTAATCTCAGCAATTTGGGAGGCCGAGGTGGGCGGGTCACCTGAGGTCAAGAGTTTGAGAGAAGCCTGGCCAACACGGTGAAACCCCGTCTCCACTAAAAATACAAAAAATTAGTCTGGCCTGGTGGCGGCATGCCTGTAATCCCAGCTACTCGGGAGGCCGAGGCAGGAGAATCTCTTGAACTTGGGAGGCAGAGGTTGCAGTGAGCCAAGATCACCCCACTGCACTCTAGCCTCAGTGACAGTTGAGACTCCATCTAAAAAAAAAAAAAAAAAATCATAGCCTGATTCAGTTTTACATGGTATTTTTTTTTATTTCAGCTTTCAATGATCTGTTGCAAGTATATACGCATAGGTTTGATTTTTTTTGTATAATAGTCTTGTATTCTGATAAACACAATTATTAGCTTAAGTTGTTTTTCTAAGATTCCACAAAGTTTTCTAAATGGGAAAATTAATGACAATGCTGTTTCTTCTTTTGCAAATAGGAATTTATTTTATTTATTTACCTTTTTCTTATTTTGATGCCTAGAAATACTAATAGAATGATAGATATAGTGAGAACAAATACTGTATTTTTTCCAAATTGTAAAGGAAACCATTTGGTCTTTAATCATCAAGTGTGATGTTAATGTAGATATTTTTATAGCTGCAATTATCAAATTTAGGAAGTTTACTTTGATTTCTAGTTTAGTGAGAGGTTTGTGTGTTTATTTTCTTTGTTGGCGTGTATGTATGTCTATCAGAAATGGACACGGGATTTTAACAAATGCTATTTTGTGCATGTGTGGAAATGATTTCTTTCTGTTTTTACTCTCTTACTGTGCTAAAATGCATTAATTCATTTTCAAATATTAAACTAACCAGTTATTTCTTTAAAAATAATCTCCTTATAAAGTACATGAAGAAGAAAAGAGAAGTATTCCCATTAGAATAAGGCAGAGCAGTTTAACCCAGTTTTTACTTTCATGTTCAAGATAAAGTAAAATTAACTTGAAATCATAAAGTTAAGAATAGACATAGTTATAATTTGCTACTACATCAAAAGAGTTTCAGTTTCCGGGTCCAGGTCACTTAATTTATAATCATAGCAAATCAGAAATGGTGGCGATTTTAGGTAGTTTTCTTTGAAGCAAACACTAAGACTGAGAATAACATTCAGAGGAAACAACAGGTGCTGGAGAGGATGTGGAGAAATAGGAACACTTTTACACTGTTGGTGGGACTGTAAACTAGTTCCACCATTGTGGAAGACAGTGTGGCGATTCCTCAAGGATCTAGGACTAGAAATACCATTTGACCCAGCCATCCCATCACTGGGTATATACCCAAAGGGTTATAAGTCATGCTGCTATAAAGACACATGCACACGTATGTTTATTGCAGCACTATTCACAATAGCAAAGACTTGGAACCAACCCAAATGTCCATCAATGACAGACTGGATTAAGAAAATGTGGCACATATAACCATGGAATACTATGCAGCCATAAAAAAGGATGAGTTCATGTCCTTTGTAGGGACATGGATGCAGCTGGAAATCATCATTCTCAGCTAACTATCGCAAGAACAGAAAACCAAACACCACATGTTCTGACTCATACATGAGAATTGAACAATGAGAACCCTTGGACACAGGAAGGGGAACATCACACACTGGGGCCTGTTGTGGGGTGGGGGGAATGAAGAGGGATAGCATTGGGAGATATACCTAATGTAAATGACAAGTTAATGGGTGCAGCACACCAACATAACACATGTATGCATATGTAACAAACCTGCACGTTGTGCACATGTACCCTAGAACATAATGTATAATAAAAAATAAATAAACAAACAAACAAACATTCAGAAATTAATTAGGGAGTGCTTTTAAAGTTAGTACCTGCTGTGGAAGGAAAGAAGGCTTAGTTAGGTAGAGGGAGTAGCTGATCCTCCCAAAGCCACAGAAGATATTTTAGAGAGCTATGAAGATGAGGTATCATCCTTCCAAGTTGAGTCCATTTGGGTTTAGGTGTCCAGAAATTTAGGCTTCTATATACTCACATCAACTAGTTATTAAAAACATGCTGCCCCTGGAAATGCGGGCAGGACCTTGGACCAGTTTCTCCTCTTCAGCTAAGGACAATTCTCAAAGAAAAGCTGAAAACTGCAACTATCATCTCATAACACTACTGACCATGGTAGAATTACGTTTTTTCTTCCCAAAGGGGAATTGTGGGCATTTCGACAGTGTTTACTACACTGGCAGACCAGAAGTGACTCCCCCTTCAACTACAGAACACTGTAATTCAATGAACATAAAGCTTGGCCAGATTACGAAATGGACCATGGACTAATATTTTATGATGTCTTAAAACTAAAGTCCAATTTCTTGGAACTGTTATTGATTCATTTTTTAAAAAGTCAAATGAACTAAATTTTTACTGAAAAATTGTTTTATTAGAAGAATGACAAATATAGCTCATGTTCATTTCAGCAAGGTATTTTATAAAGTAAATCATTACCAAATATTGAATCAGCAGGATTAATCTAGGGTGAATGATAGTCCAGTTGTAAAAAGTCAGAGTTGTTTGACTGATTAGACTCAATGCATGTTGACAAATGAATCTTGGCAACCTTGACTCTCTTCCTTTCTCATGCCAATCCATTTTGTACAGAAATGAAATGAGAAAGTATTCCTAGAATACTTGACAACAGAACAAAAATCATAATAATTCCCAACCAACAATGACTTTTGTAGGTAATGAACATTCTGCAATGTGTATTAAATAACTAGAATTGTGTTTATTTTGCTTGGAAACCAATGCAAAAACCAATTTGCTTGAAATAAAAGTATATATGTGCATGTGTATATACATATGTATGTGTGTGTGTATATATATCTGAGAGAAAATATCACGTATATATCTAAGAAAATCTTTGTAGTATTATATAACAGTCAGCAATTATGTTATAGTCAGCAGGTTAATTATAACAAAATTGTTGGGAAAATTTAGCTTCTATCACAAATACTGTTCCAACTTTAAATGAATATGCAAAGTTTTTCATAGTAATATCCTAAGATATTTAATATTCTAAAATATATTTCAATTGACAAATCAATAATCCTTGAAATTATTTAAATGCATTTTTTATTTTTATAGGAAAGACATTGCACATTTAAGAAAACATCTAGAACCTCATGTTTACAATAAAAAGTATATGAAAAGTATAGGCTTAATATGCATTATATGATAACTAAAACGTAAATATTGTATAAACTTCTTTAATAAAACTAACAAAGAATGTAGTGCTTTGACTTCTCAAAAATTCTTTCTGAGAGCTGCTTCATTTAGTTTCTCAATAAGTATCTCAGAAAATTAAATTATATGTTTTCATTACAACTTTTCAAGAAGATCTGCATCAAAAATATTTAGGACACACACACACACACACACTTTCACAGTGTAGAGACTACTCATTGATACCAAAATATCTACTCTCTTTTCCTTGTCGGCAGCAGAACATTGATCAAAGCTGGTATACTGCTCTTAAAGTGAAACATGACACACATCAGGTGTCCTTCTAGCTAAAATATTTGGTAGATATGATCCATGAAATTTCTTTGAATTTTCCATTTTAATAAGACATACCTTTCTTCTGGTGCTTCCATCTTGTTGCCGGGAATGCAGATTTGACAGTTGGATATGCAGGAGAATATTCTGGGGCCAGGAGGCTATGGTTCTGATGAATGTGCATTGATCACACTATTCCTGTACCAGCAACTTCTGGAATTCATTTACTAGAAAGAAAAATACATTTTATGTTAGTCATTTTTACTTTCTTTTGATGATTAGTTTCTATAAAGGTGGCTAAATTATGATACAGAATAAATATAAATTCTGACTTCTACGTTAAATCATCACATACTTTAAAATCCACAAAAAATTAAATAAGAAGCCTAGAGTTTTAGTTGATTAAAACATCTCTATGAGTTAATAACAAAACAAACATGCTCTCTTCGCATATTTGAATAGAAGTTCATTGATGGGCACAGCGTACATGTATGCCTCCTTCCCACCACATGCTTACCCTGGAGGTTCGTTTTTCAAATTTGTTTCCTGGGCTGTATTTATTAATTTAATTTTTCCTTAGTTTTGAATGGAGGCTCTGAAAATAGTGCAGCTTTCTGACTATAACACATGTCATGAGAGTCAGGCAAGTTGAAGTCTATCCAAATGATACTTTGAAACTCCATAGCCAAAAGAATCCTTGCAATCTCTTTCTCTAGTTGAATATCTGGGAAAATATAAACCCTAAGGACTACTGTGAACCATACCAGGGGTGTAGCTTTCTCCAAAATTCTGGGATATGAGGATGAAGTTCATCTAGACATAGAAGTACAGGCCAAAGAAAGAGTGCTGGTGGTGCCCCATTCCTGCTCCCACAATCCCCTAATCTTGGCACCTCTGCCCTGCCTGGGTTTGTGTAAGTAAATGTATTTTCATTTTTTAACATTTTATTTTTGCTAAGGTTAGTTAAATTTGTTTCACAGAGGCATACTAACTCAAATATGTAAGGGTCTGTGAGATGTGTTCGAACCATAATTTGTACACAAATGAGAAAACTAAGGTCAATGGCTGAAAGTTATAAAGCGACATGAATACCTATGCTCTAAGGCCCCTTTAACTAGGATATTTTGGCTATTCCTTCTCTATCCTTAATGCCAAGCACAGAATTGAAGAACTCAGTAGATATTTACTAAAGGGAAATAAATGAATACATGTTCTATTCAAACTTTCAATTATGCCTAAATAGCTCAGCATATTAGAATATATTGTATGTGAGACATCTTCATATTCAGAAGGTAAAAGTAACTTCCATGACATCGTAATCAAACTGGTTACTTGTTAATGTTACAATTTACATATTTTATATTGTGTATCTATTAACAAACTATTATAGCTATAGTTATTTTAACAAGTTTATATTTTAACTTTTATACTAGAAAACCGCTTATTTATCATGTGTTTATCCTTTCTAGGGACAGAATCCAGGGATGTTACAAAAACAGAAAAAAGTAGTGCCTGTTCTATTTCAGTCAATCAGGAACATGGTGTGTGGTATTATCATTGGTGGCTTAGTTCCTTTAGACTACTATCACAAAAAAATAGTTTAGACTGGGTGATTAATAAGGAATAGAAATATATTTCTCATAGTTCTAGAGGCTGGGTAGTTCAAGGTAAAGATGCCAGAAGATTCGGTGTCTGGTGAAGGTTTATTCTCTGCTTCATACATGACATATTCTTGCCACATTTTCAAGGGCAGAGGAGGAAAACAAGTTCCCTTGGGCCTCTTTTATAAAGGCAGTGATCCCATTCATGAGGGCAGAACTTTCATGATCTAATCACTTCCCAAAGACTCTTATTACGAATGTGTGTGTGGGGGACACACACATTCTAGAACATAGCAACGGACATATAAAAACATTATACATGGCACCTATATTTACAACAGAGTCTAACCAAGATCAATTATTAGTAAAGGAGTTTTTAATAATTGTCATTTTTTATGCCTTTTCATCTTTAGTATATAAGAATAAAAAGAAAAATATAGTAACATTTTGTAATGTAAACAACATTGGTGCCACCTGTCTGTATTTTTCCTGCTCACATGGACATGATTTTTTTTATTTCCTTAAATAATCAACAAGAAGTATCAACTTTGTGTAGGCAAAGCAACTAGCTTTCATAGGAATACACTTTCACAAAAGAAAAGGAGATTTATGCTGGATTTAAGCGTGCTGAGAGAAGGAACAAGAGTAAACTGCCAGCAGCAAAAGGCATTTCAGAGTAGCCACAATGACCAGCCTACGAAAAGAAATTAACAGTCACACAGTTTTCTCATCTCATACTCAGTGTCAATTGAATAAATTATCTCGTGTCTTATATTAAAATAAGAAAATCATTATTTTCAGCTGGAAACACACTTGATAAAGTCTGTATTTTGCTAATATTCAGTATTTCTCTTCCTGCTTTTCTCAATGCACGATAAGAAAAGCTCACCTAAATCAAATCTTGAGAAATGTTAGTGTGTGCACAAGGCAATCTTCTTGAAAAATGACTTTTTTTTTTAGGATAAACATTTGCTATTGGCAGAAAAAATTGCAATATCTATTTTATGTATTTGAAACCGCCACTTAAAATATAAAATCTTATTTGGATCTGGAATTACATCTGCTTAATGGCTGTCTTGTTTTTTTTTTTTAAGATTCAGTTTTCATTGAGTTCATCACAGGTAAAGAATGGCATGAAATTCAGCGAGCAATACAGTTCTAACAGCTTGTTGACTGCCAACTCCTACTTAACATGTTCTGTTAATTTAATATAATACAAAGTGGCTGATTTTAATAGGCATTATTTTATTTTTACGATTTAACTCTAAGATATCAGGATGTATTTTGTGTGTTTTTATATTATTTTTTCCCCAAACACAAGATCAGCTTATCAGAAGAAAAGTAAGTGCTCAGAATATAGAATATAATTGAATGTCATCATTGTTAAGTACTGTTTAAATTGGTAACTGTAACATTTAGTTGAGCTTTTCAGAGTGACATGATGTTTAAAGCGTGAGTCATTTGCCTTAGAGTAATGAATAGCCACTTAATAGATTTTAAGATGTTTAAAAGAATTAAGTTTCAAAGGCCATCTTCTTCCTTGGAATACATACATTGCTTGAAATTGACAGCTAGACATTTGACACTTGGTTGTTTGTTTAGTATATTTTCAAAGGTATCAGCTGGCTTGGACTAGGCTTTAAGCTCTTCTAAATGACTACTAAAATATAATTTACAATTTATTTTCCAATCTTAAGTTCAAAACAAGACAAAATGAAACAACGATGACAAACCACTACAGTACAAACATTTTAGCAGTGGAAAATCCACCATATATTTCAAAAGATCACAATAAAATTGACAGGTGAGTAAAGGAATACATAGATAATATGAGAAAAGAAAGCTTCTAGGTTTGAGGATTATATATGTTGAGTAAAATTCATCAACAGGATGTGAAGATGTCACAAGATGATCAATAGAAAGTTACTATAATAATTAATATACTTAGCCAAAAACTGTTAGCAAATGAAAATAAAATAATTTGTAGGAATAAATTAAGATTTTGTGAGTCAGAGATTGCTTCGAAAACATCAGCTATGTTCTCTATGTTCAGAAAGATGTGCATGTATAACATGACGATGGCATTTCTGTACACAACACAAAGACTCATTTACCCACTTTATCAAGTCCCTAATGTCAGCTTTCAGTTGCACCCCTGTAGGTATGAATCTATCATATATTATTAAACTAAGAAAGAGACTGTGTCTACATAGACAAATCAAAATAACAGATTTGGACAACTAACAAGATTAGCAAGGAAATTATTTAAGATATTTCCAAGAGAGGAATAAATATTTTAAAAGAGCAAGCTTAAACTAAATTATTTAGATAACCCTTCAGTATCAGCTTCACCGTTTATATGCACATGACCTAATGAATAGAGCAAGTAGCTTAGTTAAGTTGACATTCCAGAGACACAACTAAATTGGCAAATGTAAGTGGGATCTGATGCTACCTGACATGCAAAGATAATTTCTTGCATATATTTAACGGTCCAAAGTGCATAAAACCTTATAAAATAAATGCAATTTATGTAATTGAGTCTAAGTATTTCTTAGCAATTCATTCACATCAATATATGAATTTTGGACAATACAAAAATATGTGAAAGAATAACTCGACTTTCCAGTGATAATCAATCTTCTGTATCAAAAGCAATTATTAGTTATGAGAGGAAGAGACTGAATGTTACCCATAACATTAAACTTTTTCCATCTTTATTAACTTCTCAAAAGTAAGTAATAAAGTTAATGGCAAGTATCACAAAGAGAAGAGGTGTTACTTATATTCTTCCCAATGAGTTAATTTACCTGAAACTAATTTACCAACCTCAGGTTGGCTTCCAACTGTCAAAAAAAAATCAAAATAAATAAAAATGGACACACAGATGTGTCAGTCTCTTTAATATGTCTGTATATCTTATATTTTGCATATTATTATGTTTATTCAGCTGTAGTTTACTCTTCCATTCTTGTTCTCTCGTAAAAGAATAGAACAAAGAGAAATCAGTAGATGTATTTTGTTTTGTTGAGGGAAGGTCGTTAACGGTATGCAAAAGATAAGTGCTTCTGTTGTTTTTCATGTAGTGACATCTTGCATGCAGCTGTGAACAATTTCATTTATGCCAAATAGTCTGTTGAGTTATCATTCAAGAATGGCTTTATTAGCCAGCACATATTTAGTAACATAAATCTTAAAATTAGCAGTAAAATCCCATGGAGGCCTTTGGAAGCATTTAACTTAGAATGATAACACTCTAATTCACAAACTCCCATTTTTGGAACCCAGAGAAATACATTTTCATAAAATGTCTTTTCTGACGATGGAAGTAGGTAAGAAATGCAGGTTCAGGCTCAAATAAATGCCTAAATTCAAAAGATTACAGAAGAAATATGGAGAATACACAAGTTTGAACTTTCAGTTATTTAATAAAAATATGACATTCAATAGCACTCTTTTAAAATGACCACCCTAAAGGACCTAAAAATAAAAGCGATGTTCTTTGATTTGGACTTCACTAGGCTTAGTCATAAAGGTAAATAACAAAAGGATGGATTAGTTAGATAATAGCAATAACAATAACAATAATAATAAAGACGTGCTTTGGAGAAGCAGAATATTGTAAG